CGCAAAAACGCCGATAAAAACTGAAAAACACAGAATGTGAAACCGCAACTTTGCATGTATCTCCCCATGTACTCAGCAAACATTCATGCCAAATGTGGTAAAGATCTATCCACAGGTGGTGAAGTAGTAGTGAAAACGCCCACAAAAATCGCAAAATGCAAAACTGAAAAATTTTATATATCCTTCCATGGACACAACAAATCTCCATTCCTAATATAGTGAGGATCAATCTAAAAGAAGTGAAGTAGTGGTAAAAAAGCCCACAAAAACCGCAAAACGCAAAACTGAAAATTTGTATGAACCCTCACATGGACCTAATGAACCTCCATACCAATTTTGGTGAAGCAATATCGCGTTAAAAATACATTATCTGATTTTGAAGATATAAAACACATTCAAATTTTAGTATTTTACACTATGTTGAAGTAAGATAACATAGAAAATCACTACAAAGAAATAAAAGAAGTCCAAAATGCCACAAAACTTCGACCAAAAATCTTGACCAAAAACAAATCCCTTAGGAAAATAATTACAATAATTTCTAATAGAAGAAAAAAGGGGCCCAACCGACAAGATTATTGCAGAATTTAGCTTTTCAATGGAAATTCCTCGGTAAAAAAAAAGATATGTAAGCTGTATTTAAATTAAACTCTAACAACCGGCGGGGTCCTTTACGGATTTTTCTTTTAGTTCCCAGATCGTGTTACCGTCTGAAGAATGAGCTCCTAGTGTAGAAAGGTTTGAGTCTGCGGACTAATGAATTTAAAAAGCAAACTAATAGAAAGCACTTTTCGATTTTATATACTGACATAACTTTATCTTGGATAACTGTGTGCCTTCTGCATGAGAAGCACTCTTAACTGTACACATTGACATCACTAATCTTCAAATTACACTGTCCATCTGCATGAGAAGCACTCTTAACTGTATACATTGATATTACTTTTTCTCAGACCACAGCGTATCTTATGCGTGAGTTAACGCAGTTAACATTATAATGCACCATCTACTACAGTGTGCCTTCTGCATAAGGATGCAAACTTAAATTATACTCACTCTTCCTTATACCTCATTATATCTCCTGTATAACTTTTGATTATAGAACAGTTTTGCTTTTTCTGTAGTGGAAAGTATTCTATGAAACATAGTCTAACGATAACCTATCGTGAAAAAGAAACTCCTGATAAAAACAATATTAATAATTAATTACAAACGCTGTGGATCATAATATGTCACTTCTCTATTCTTTAGGTCTCTGAAATTAAAGTATGTTTAATATATTGTTTTTCTTTTTATTGTAGTTAATATTGTTATCTTTTAATTAGAGAATCAACATTCTAGTTATTTATTGTACGATTAAGTTATTCATTTGATTTATTACTTTGTATCTTCATAAACATTAGTATTATTGGTACTGTCCTACTACTTGACTCCCCATCTAAATAGCACTAATGTGTCGTAGTAATTCATCTCAGATATCAGGCGCTTCTAAAGTAACACTGTCGGAGTCGTTTAATGGACTTTAATTGGACACAAGAGGTTGTTAGGAAGAAATGTGTAAAGTTCTGCTTATACACGGTTATATTGATGTTACGTTGTTCAACGAACATTAAATATACTAACAAATACTATTTATGTTTTTAAGATGTTGTGTTTGCTTGAAGTTAAGCACAAAGCTACACAATGGGCTATTTGTTCTCTGCCAACCATGGGTATCGAAACCCGGTTTCTAGTGTTGTAAGTAAACAACAATGTATTATTTTTAATGTTACATTCGTTAGCAGTATTGATCACGATGTTCAATAGAAATACTTTTTTTATATTGTCCGCCGGTGCGATAGCGGTAAATCTACGAACTTACAACGCTATAATCCGGGGTTCGATTCCCCACAGCAGATAGCCCAATGTGGCTTTGATCTGCAACAAACATTTTTTTTTTCATTATTATAGATTGTTTTACACTGTTAGCTTAGTATATAGATTTAAGACACTTAAGTCTCCTCAACTGGTCGAACCTCATGATATATAATTGGGTTTATGGTCGAAAATGTCATTGACATCGAGGGTACCCAACTTATGGAGTAATGTATTATAATTTTTATACGTAAGAAAGTAATAAAGGTATATTTAATTTGCTATACTCATTACCGAGTTGATTTTTTTTTAGTTCAGATCTAAATAGGTAAATTATTATGATTGGAAGATAAGATTAATTTAAATACAAACAATAAAATAAATGACGTAACTTCCACGATTGTTTAGCAGCATCGTATTTTCTGTTTTTCTACAGCTATTTCCGTACAACACTTGCTTTATTTCAAAGTGGAATCAAAACTACACTTTAACTTTCATTCCAATATGTTAGAAAATCTTAAAACAGCCGAAGCAACGCCAAATTCACACATCATTATTCATGACCACCGCCAATCCGGTTTTTCTCTGCAGTAAGCTTGAGACGTACAACACTAAAATTCGACGTTTGATCCCTGTGGTGGCCAAGACGCGGGTAACGCATAATTCAGCTTTGCAATAAACATACAAACATTATCAAATGCAAAAATAACAATAAATATTTTAACAGTTTTTTTTTTAAGAGCGAACACTTTAGTACAACTTTTAATATTTCTTGTACACGGATCGAGACCTAATGGTTAAAGTGCCGGACTGTGGTTCTGAGGTTTTATGGTTCACGTCCCCCTTACCGCTTAAAAAAAATCACGCTTAGCACTTTGGGGTCATAGGTGCGCTATAAAAGTGAAGGTCAAATTCCACTATTTGGTTTGGTTTGGAAAGAGTAGCCCAAGAGTTGGCGGTAGGTAGTCTTGAATAGCTGCTATCCTTATCACTTCAAAATTAGGGGAAATTAGAGCACATAGCCCTATTGTAGATTTGCGCGAAATTCACAAACACACAATCCTTATACACAGGAATGCTTTCGGTTTTGGTTTCCTTTCTAAACAGTAAAAAAATGCCAAGGTCGTTTTTTTATTAAAATACTTATGCTCACATGCGAGTTTTTCTTCAACAAAAATCATTGTTTTAACCAATGTTTAGAAGCAAGACGTAAAACTTTAAAGTGAAAGTAATGCAGGCAGCCATTTGCCAAACAGACACAAAAATGTATTTCAATATTAGATTAGTTTACCAAACCGTTGCTCAGACTTATCGTGTTCAGCATTAA